CTCAGATCAAACAACTAATCCCCCAAATCATGTTTATCATGAGGCCTCAAGAGGCCCTCAAGAGGCCATGGAAGGCTTCATGTGAATAAGAATCTTGCTACTGATATTTGAGAACATCCCTTAATTTAATTGCACCATCCCCTTTCCCTCCAAAGTAAAAACAAAAAAACCCCACAAAACCCTATATATCCAAATTTCCTGAAAGTCACATTTTCTTTATGATATCGGTTCGCTAAAAATTTTTCTCAATTCCAATGACTTTAATCACTTAATGAACTCTCTTATCTTTTTGCTGTTCCACCTTCTGAATTACTTATGGAGCGAGACACTTAAAGTGGATGGAACTTTTGAATGGAAACAGATGCAGGCTCAATTTTGCATGCCAACACAGAAAAGCATTATCCACAGCGTCTAGAATTCCATTTGAAAATTTCAATTAATTAATTTTAGCCTAAATAACTGTGATAACATTATTCATTAAGGGGTTTATCATAGAGATGCAGATGCCATTCCTTATGAAAATTCCTTGATATTTTCTCTTTAAAGTGTTTTAATTTGTAGAGTAACCTTTTATATCTTTACACTAGACTGGAAGTAGAAGAGCCATATGACAGATTAGACTCAAAGTACTTATCCAGAACAGACATTTAAAAATCTTTATAAGTGTAATTCCCATGGGAGTTAATTTTTTCATAGTTTTGTATAAAGTGACAAAAATTATGGTTTGAAAGTGAAGGTGCCTCTAATGGCTGGAACGCTGTGCCTAAATTCATGAAGTTGAGATTGATTTTATAAAATTTGTTTATAAATTAACTATTATTTTAAATGATTTAATAATATTTGCTACTTTAAAGAACCCTACAATAGATGGTTTTAAAACATAAAGACTCCTTGGGTTAAGTCATCAGATATTTATTTCCAAGTAAATGTGCTGTGTGGTTGTATTTTTGTATAATAGATTTTCTGAAAGCAGGAGACTCTTAGAGCTAAAGGTTTCCTCCTGCCAAACTGTCCATCATCTTGCGAGCAGTGGGCCAGGTGCAGGGGGTGTGTTCTGTTATCCTAAAGTATTTACCTCTGTGTGTGTGTGTGTGTGTGTGTGTGTGTGTGCATGTGTGAGTGTGTGTGTGAATTGGTAGAGGTAGGCAGGAGAAAGGAAAACATCTGTTAGAAGATTAAAGCCAGACCCTCTATAGTTGCTTGAACATCATCTCACTGACCATCAAAGTCACCTGGGCTTCCTTCTTTTGGACTTTAGAGCTCAGAGTGTACACTTTTAAGTGGCATGTTTTTCACTTCGGGATTGGTGTTCATATGTATTTTCTTCATTCTCTTTCTCCTTTATTGTCCTTCTCTCTCTCTCTCTTTGTCTCTGTCTATCTGTCTCTGTCTTTCTGTATTTCTCTCTCTGTCATTGTCTCTCTGTCTCTGTCTCTTTGTCTCGGTTTGTCTATGTCTCTTTCTGTCTCTGTCTGCTTCCATCTCACTCTGTTTCTCCTCTCTCTCTCCCCCTGTTTCTGTGTCTCTCTTTAGAAACTCTGTCTCTCTGTGTCTGTTTCTCTTTCTCTCTCACAAATGCACACACACACACATGCACACACACATGGCTCCCATGTGGCCTCAGTGGTGTGTACATAGTCCTTCTGCCCTGGGCCTCACCATGCCAGCAGTAGAGGCTAAAAGGGTGCTTTTATGTGCGCTGCCCTCTTATCACCTGAGAAGGAGGGAAGCTATAAGTTTATAATTATTGTGAATCTTGTTTCCATGGATTCATCATATTTTCCATCTTGGTGAGGGAGCGGGGAGGGTGGTAGGCAAATCTGAGAAAACTCAAGGTGTTTATAAAATACAATCTGTGAAAAGAAAAAAAAAGTATGAGCATGTTTACTCTGAAAACCCAAATCACAGAGAGACCTCCACAGGGAATCAAGAAATGAACTGAAACTCAGGGCAGGGGGCACCGTGGGCCAGATGCTCAATAAGAAAGAAAGAAAGATCTAAAGGAAGAGACATCATAGGAAAACTTAAGATATATATATGGATTTTTAGGGAAAAACTCACATCCTTCAATCAATCCCAAGTAAGCATGCTAAAGAAAAAAGTGTACAGGATGCTGGTCTATACAGTTATATTACCCAGATAATTTGCACATGGAGAGAGAGGCTCCTAAAACTTAAATGACTTCATTTCCTAAAGTTTACTTGACTTTATTTTTAAATATTTAAGTTATATGATAATAGGCCATTATTTAAATGACCAAATATCTTCAAAAATATTCAAAAGCGATTTCTAATGTGTGTGATATTGTTTCATTTCAATTAAAAATAGAGGACATTTGGAAAGTCAAAAGTGAGCTAGTGGTATTAATGTACATTCTATCAACACTCTAATCACCACATTCTCTTCTTCATCACCACTTAATAAAAGTGGGGACTTATTTTTGCCCCAGATATTGGTTTCAGCAGAGTTCAATATATGCCAATAGGCTTATGAAACCTGTAATTCATAAGTACCCATAAGAGGGAAATTTGACTTCTACAGAAAAGGATTTGCAGTCTGATAACATTGCAATAAATGATACTGTATATGCTAATGTTGTTTAAATACAATGATTGCACAAGTGAAGAGTGTTTTATAGCAATGCAATAGTCTAAATGGTCAATTCATGTTCATTTTCATGTTTGTTTCTCTTCTCATCACTACCTTCTACCCCAATATTATTTTCTTTTGTCAGATATGCACAGCGACTCCCAGGACTGGACCTGACTAATAGGGACAGAGGATTGAGGGGAGTCTGGGGTTTAGAACCAAACAAGTGAGAGGTTAGGAGAAACAGTGAGTGAAGAACAAAGCTGATAAGCAACAGTGACAACAAGTGACGCTGACAAACATTCAGCTGTGCTTTGTATTGGGCAGAGAAGGTATCTGGAGGAATTCTTTGAACTGTCTCCCTATTTTAATTTCCTGGCTAGAATTCCCTCACTCCTAATGTGTAGCTCTCTTCCTGAGTTAATGCTGTTGGAGTATCCTAGTTTGGATTTCCTTCTCTTCCCATCTCTCTACCACCGGATAATGATTTTCATTACCGCTCGTGACTGCTCCTAACTCACCTCTTAGATCATGGATTGAGCCTGTCACCAAATATTCAACCCTGGATCCTAATACCCACCCAAGAACCTCTAATTCTGATTGTTAAGTTTCTTTCTTGTGCACAGCTAATTTTCCTGTGCTAAGCTAGCTGAAAAATCTGTGCTTACAAAAATATTATGATCAGGCTAAGAGGTGAATCAGCTCTCTAGAAGACAATTAGATGAGTATCAGGGAGACATAAAAGGGGCAAGTCAAGGCAATTAAACAGAGAACTCCGTGTAGAAGTCATGAGTCAAGTAATCTACAAGCTCTGGTGCTTTGGAACATGACAGGAGAATATAACCATTCATTTAACCAACATTTATTAAACATTTACAATATTCCAGGCACTGTGATTATGAAGTCTGATCAGTTAATGATTGTTTATACACCTTTTGCAAGGGCAGGAATTAATTCAGGGCATTAATGACCCAAAGCCCAAGCATGTGGACAGCTACTATGAGCATTCCATGCTGAAGGAGAAATTCGTAAATTAAACTAAGAGAATAGTCTAAGAGGAGCCATAGGACTGTGTGACTCTACCTCTGACCCCAAGGCAGGGCTGGCTGCATGGACCTCAGCATGGATGAGCCCAGGACTCTGTACTTTTTAAAACACATTCAAAGTAATTCTGATGTGCAGCCCAATTTTAGAATTACTGATTAGGCAAACAATATTGACTCATGCAACTGACATTTGTTAATCACTTGCTACAAGTTCACACATAAGAATAAATTAGAAAGGATTCCTACTCTCTTGTGGTTTATATTCTAATAATATACAAATGTTATTTAACTCAACCTGAAATTTAAACAGCATAAAAGAGATACAGATAGAGTTCAGACAAAGAACTTCCTGATGAAATTTTAGGAAAAGCTTTGTTTGAGAAAAGAAACATTTGAGTTGGAATTTGAAGCATAGTTTACTTTAAAATTATTTTTATTATCAAGGCAATTCGTGTTGACTTTTGAACGATTATGAAATACAGATAAACAACATGCATACACACAAAACAATACCTTAACTTATAGATAACGCAGATGTATACATTGGTGTGTATTCCAGACTCTCAATAAAAATATGAATACGGATATCAATGAATACATACATTTTTAGATATGTTTCTCGTTACAAAAACAAAACCATTTTGTACATGCCAGTTTTGTGGCTTATTTTTCTGTACCAAACGATGCATAATAAATATCATTCCTGGAGAAGAGAATCAGTATTAATCCACAACATCATATTTATTGCCTAAATACTACATCAGTGTATATAGATGTATTATAATTTATTTAACTATTATATAATGTTGGGAATTTGGGATTTCTGTCTTTTTTTCTATTATAAACACATTGAAAAGAAAATCTCAAACTGAATTTGCTTTCTTAATGATGAATATCTTAGTAGCAGTGGAACATGGAAGACAATGGAGTATGCATGTTTTTAAAGGATACATGGAAGGATGAGATGCATTCCAGGGCAAGGGTAATGTAAGCAATAACCTAGACACAAAAACGTACTGGCAGCTGAGGACCAGGGACATTGAGTGATACAGTTTGCCTGAAAGGATGGTGTTAAGGGCAGAAATAAAAGGAAAAGAAACACGGTTGAAAATTTAGAATAGAGCCAAAACTTGCAGAGTCTTCTATGCTATATCAAGGAATATAGTGTTTCGTGGCTTTTAATTGGATGCTATGGATAGACTCGGCAAGTTTCATTTCCTCAGAATCCCTGAGGGTTTGGGATAATTCCAGAATGATTGGCACTATTGCTTCCATACTTTAAACTGCTGGAGAGTTATTATTACATAAGTGCTTTTGATAGAGGAACAGTGACCTCATTTTCAGAAATCATCAATGCTTGGCCAAATGGCCTCCCCTGGTGGAAGTTCTGTCAATGGCCGCTCCCAAGGTGAGTGCCAGGGTGTCTGTCCTATGTTCAGGAAATTTCTGCAGAAGGTGCCCTCCTGGTGTGAGTCTTTCTACATACACTCCTCCTTCTACAAATGCACTAAAGAGCTACATGGTGGTTGACAGTTATTTTTTTAACAGAACAACATAACTATCCATTCAATTTTTCTCTTCGTGTACCATGAAAGGGGTTTCTAAAAGAACAGCCCCCAAAACTTCTTAAACCATAACCAGAAGGAGACAAAGTCCATGGGGACAGTTAGTGCGGGCTGTGTTCATTTGGGAAGAAGCTTCATTATCCTTCTTTGAATTTTCTCTCACACTGGGAAGTCATTATTATTCTGGCATTCTTCCTGACATTTTTATGACTTTGTTTATTTTAATACATGGTTCATTATTTGTTTTGGAACAACCCCCCAAAATATTCCTCCAAATGCTACTTGAGCTCAGTCAAGGAGATGTTTCATCATCCTCTTTGTTGTCGCTTCTTGCAACTCGGCTAAACTTTTCCTTCTGGTGGGGGGTGTAAAGCTCTGTGACTCTCCTTCTGGACTGCGACATGGGTTTGTCTCTCCTTGGGTGACTGGGAAAACTCAGGATCTATTGATTAGATCAAAAATAGAGAGGTTTGTATTGGGCCCCTTGTTGTTGGTGGGGGAAAATATGATTCTCTCCCCCTCGACTTAGGAAAAAAAAAACACAAAAACCAAAAAGCCTACTCTGTTAAATTCAACTCAGAAATAACTAGCAGATGCAGGAACAGGCCGCTAAAAGGCATTTCTTTCTCTCTGAGTGCTTTTCTTTCCCCAGCAGCGAAGGGCTTCTGTGCAGTTAGAGTCCCATGTTTGATTGACTCGGCTCCCAAGCTGATGTTTACACGGCTGTATTCATCTTGCTCCGATGGCTGTGACATGCCACCCGGATGCGGTGAGGCTGACAGCGAATGTGAGGGGGACCAGACAGATGACAACGTCTCCGTTCTTCAGAGCCCAGGCAGGATGATCTGTCACCTGATGATAGGCCACAGCCTGTCATTTATTTACTTACAGCTTTAATGTGGGTAAAATGAGCAGGAGAGGGGGGAAATGTGACAAGAGGCAAAGAGAAAGTGAGTGGTTACAGGAAAGAAAAATCTGACAGACCCTCTTTGGCATTAAAATATCAACAACAGCTATTTCCTACATCTCAATGGGCATGCCAGCCCAGGAGCCAATTATGAGCAGCATTCTGGGCAAGAAATCAGATTTGCAAAGCAGGAACTTTAGCCATGTTAGTCTGTGGCAGTGGGGTAGACAAACCCCATTGCCACTTGATTGTATTAAGTGCCTTGGATTTTTCTTGCACGTTTAAGTTTCTGCAATATTCAATGACTATTTTGGCAAGTGTGTTTTTTCCTTTCCCTTTTTAAATCTGTACACATTTTGCAAAGTAACTTGCATGTGCAATCGGAATTATTATCCAAGTGGCCTATTTGCTATGAAAGTGTAGCTAGAAATCATTTACAGTCTTGAAGATAAAACCTTTGAAAGCCATTGACTTGGTTGGCTGACATCCTGGTTACAGGAAAGGAACACCTAAAAAAAATCTAGGGAAAAAGACGAAAGATATTTTAATGGTTAAAAGTTAAATCTGTAGGAACAAAACTGTGACTATTCATATTTTAAGGGAGTTTTGTAAAACATAAAAAAATTATGATCTTTGCCTGTATCTAAATGAATTAAATATTTCTGAGTTAAACAAATTTCATGAACAAAGTGCACTACGTTTTATATATGCAAATACAGATTTGAACCACTAAAGTTTTAAAAAGGCATCTAGAGCTTGGGCATTCTTTACTTATTTTATGACACCAGGTCTTATTCTGTCACGCAGCATCTGGTGGAGAGGCTTCAGGAATTTCCCACAAACTGATGATCTTACATTGAGGGTGTGATGTGTTCAGAGACAGTGTGCCTGAGGGTGCACTTTTCTGTGCCCAAAGACCATAAAGCATTCACAAATCATCACTAGCAGTGGGGCTGATGAGGCCCAGGTGTTGGCTCTAGTGTTATGTCAATAAAATCTACCTATGCAAAAATACCTAAGAACTGACATAGTTCATAATAAATATTGTTCCCAAGAAATGATAACTGTAACCCGCAGTAGCCTGAGCCCAGCAATCCCAAGACTGAGTGTTCTCGATGAGACTCTCTGGTTCTTAGTGTGCCATTTCCAAATGCCTCTCTCGGCACATCTAGTTTTGTTGTGTACTTTCTCCATATTAAAGTATGGTCACCATCCCCTTTTTAGGCTCTCAGATTTGCAGCCCCCAAACACCCACTCAACAGACAGCCTCGTATGCAATAGGGCTCGCTTTCACCCAAGGAAGGCCAAATGGCCAAGGAAGATCTCAGGCACAGAAATGTGACTTTCCAGAATATTGGGAGGAATGTTGCATTTTAATCTTGTGTGATTACTTTGGGAGAAAGCATAGCTCTAGTTGGTGCTGGGAAGGTTGTTGGTACAGATCAGATACACTTCACCCCGTGGCTCCATTAGCACTGTCTCCCCTAAATGTCTCCTCCCGCTCTTAGATATCCCTGTGCCTTGCTGCTTCTGGCTGCCAGCTGTGGTAAGAAAACAAGAAGGCTTGCCATGTCATCACGTGACTTCCCATCCCCGGAGCTAGAAATACAAGCTCCACTTTGACCAGCCACTTCTGTAGCTCCGTTGCCAAGGAAAGGGAGATTACCAGGAACCCTGGGGACACAAGGGCCCTGTGAAATACAAGAATCCCAACCAGCAATTTACCATGCATGTTTCTAGAGCTAGTAGTGTCCTCACCTTCTGGTGTGAATAATTCAGCAGATTGCTCTGAATGGGCCACGTGGTGAAATAGAGTCACGTGAACTCTCATAACTGTTTGATATTTTTAACGCACTTTTGGGAATTTTATTTTGTATTGGCCGAGTCCTACTTCTTTCCTGAAGAATTTCAGGAAGGAAGAGAATGCTGTCCGCTTCCAGGCATTTGGCAGAATATCTCTGATGTGTAGAAGAGTCAAATTACCTGTCCTGGTTTTCTTGTCTTGGCAGGAATGGGATGAATTCTATCACTTTGCTAACAACTGAGGTGGATACTCTTTGTGTTGGAGTATGTGGACGCCGGTGGTGTCCTTGGGGTCCAGGTGTTCACTGGGAACACCTGTTTCCATTCTTTTTGCCTGCATTATTGTTAGGGAAGATAGAGGCAGGGTGGGGCCTTAGGGTATAGTGGCTAGATCAGGGAGGTGAAGAGTATCAGTTAAATGTTATGATTTTATTACAGTTAAACATTATTGTTCTCCTCAGTGCCCCTCATGGTTATTTGGACTCTTTATATGTCTGGTTAAAATGTTAATAGTGGAGACATGGGAGGAATTAGGAAGAAAACAAAACAAGGGCAGAGGATTCCTGACCCTGCCTTAAAAATGTCCACCTCCCACTCCCCTATATACAAATAGATGTTTTATAATTTACCAAATATTTTAGTCTCGGTGATCACACACTCTAGTATAACCTACAGTAATTTCGGTAAGGTAAGAAATATGTGAAAATCATTTATTGTTTGTTCTTCCTTCAGTCGTTAATCAAGGAACTCCCATGCGGCATCCCTGTACCCTCTGAACCGTGCTGGGGACCTCAATCCCTTTAATATGTAAACAGAGTTTTTTTTAAAAAATTATTCACACTCTCTCTTTTTTTATAAGCTGAAGCAGCTCTTTCCCATTTCCTGTCTTTCAGGTTCTTTTTGTAGCAAAGGTGAAAAGTAAAAGTAATTATCATCTGCTAGGACCTTTTCTGTTGAGACCATAAGATATGCCCAAATCTATAATGTGCAATTTTTATCACGAACATTTTTATTCTTGACCCAGATGGGCTTCTAGTTCCATCCAGCATCAGTCTATTCATGAAAAGCCCTGAACACAAAATTGTATCAAACATAATAACAGATAAGCAGCTAGACTGAATCATATATTTGCAACTGAATACTGCTTCCCCATAATACCTGTGAGTAGGAGAAATATTTAAGATATTTATCCTATTTAGCAGCCGAGCACTGATCAATTGGAATGGAAGTTGGCTACAAACAACTCGTGGGCCTTCTGAGGGAGCTGAACCTCTTCCATGCAGGGGGGCGTCTGCCCGTGGGCATGAGAGAGAAGCAGTCTCGCGGGCTGGTGGCTTGAGAACACAATTGATGAAGGTGAGTTACACTCTGTGTTAGTTTCCCAGGGCTGGAACAAGAAACCACAAACTAGGTGGCTTGAAACAACAGAAATGTGTTCTCTGACTGCTCCGGAGGCCAGAAATCGAGCCACACTCCCTCCGAAGGTTCTAGAAAGAATACTTCCCTGCCTCTTCCGGCTTCTGGTGGCACCTGGCCTTCCCTGACTTGTGGCATCATCTCTCCAATCTCTCTCTCCACCACCACACGGCCCTCGTGCCTGTGTGTCTCTTGTTCTCTCCTGTTCTTAAAAGGACACCAGTCTTTGGTTTTAGTGTCTACCCTAAACCCGGGCATGACTTCATCTTGAGATCTGTAACTAATTACATCTATTAAGGCACTATTTCCAAATAAAGTCACATTCCGAGATTCCAGGTAGACATGATTTGAGGGGGGGGAGTGTCAATGTTTAACCCTGTCAATATTTAACCCTCTTGCTTTCAATGTTTCTCAGACTGATGTAAACGCCAGGAGGATTCACGAATGAGAGGGGGAAATATTTTCAGTCATTTTTTTTTCTCTAAGCAACATGGTAGAGATGTGTTCATTTTTTTGATAGTAATTCATCTCTGTGTTTATTTCTTCAGTTAATAAGGAAGAATGCAGACGTTTGAGACACTTTCCACTGGGGATTAGAATTTCCAATGATAATTGTCTGATAAATATTCAGAAGTGTTACCATGTTTATCATTCCCAGTTGAGCCTCTCAATTTCCTGGCGAAGGAGGCAGAGCAGGTAGCATCAATTCTGGCCCCAAGAGAGCAGGACCCCAGGGCTCCAGGAGCCCGGTTTTGCCAATGTTCCCTCTGTCAGTGACTGATTGATGGAGCTAGACGGGTTAGATTTCTTTCCATTAGGTCAAGAAACAGCTTGATTTTCACAACTTCTTTTTTTTGTCACAGTACTCGGGGAGACATCTGCCTCTATTTCTATTTCCATATTCAGATTTTCATTTTATTTTGAGGTTTAGGGATATGTCAGCTTAGCCATCATGGCTTTGGGATCAGTGTGAGCCATGTTCTATTTCAGGTTTTGCCGCCGAACAGCTTTGCAACATTGGGTGAGTTACGTAACCTTTTTTGGGTCTCAGCTTTCTCATCTAAATGGGGCGAATATTATCTATCTTGTAAGAAGATAATAAGGAAAAGTAATTTAATACATTTAAAACATCTAGCAATGTGTGTCAAAAAACAGCAGACTCTTTTTTTTATAGTGTATATTTTATTGTTGTACAGAAGAAAGATGGAAGACCTTGAAGAATCAGTGGATTTTGAGTTTGCAGAATTTGTGATATGGTCTTGGACAAATATCAGACATTCTAAGTCTCGGTTTCATCAGCTGTAAAATGATGGCAGGTCTCTAAGTCCATTCCGTTCCACGACTTATGGGCAAGAGACTGAGAGAGAACTGCAAACAAAGAAGTCTGCTATTTACCCTATTTAAACTCCAATAGATTTAAACTTTATGTGAGGAACACTTATAAAAACTTCCAGACACAACATGAGGAACAGAGAATCTCTGCGAGAGAACTAGAAAATTCTTGGTGTTGCATCAGTGTGCCAGACAAAGGAAGTGACAAATTGTCACTCTAGGCTGAGAAAGGGTTATCCTTTGAAAAACAAAAGATTACCTTTACTTTCCATTCTTTCAAAAGATAATTGCACGATATTCACATTCCTTGAAGCACTCTGAAGATGACATGGGAATTGAAAATTTTAGTTGTTTCCAAAGGAATTTAGAAGCACAGAATAATGTCAGGCTCCGATCAAATAAAAATAACTTTTAAGGTCTCCATTTATTAAAAATGCATGCCTTGTTTTCAAGCATTTTCTTCCACAGCAGTTACACACTGGCAGAACTCAGTTTGAAGCTTTTTAACTAGTGCTTTTTGACAACTCCAAAGCTCTCTCCCTCCTGCCCAAATGTTGCTCCTTCATTAAGTTCCCCAAGGAAGCAAAGGAGCCAAAGGCAAATAGAGACAATACACCCTCCTTGTTCAAATGGACTTGTTACTTTCATTTGTCAGAAAATGTAGAGATATTTGCAAGAAAGCTGACTTGGAAACAAAGCCTACGTGGGGAGTCCTGTTTGCGATCTCTTATGTGGATGGTGGATGAGGATCTTATGTGCTATTTACACAAAAATTAATACTTAAAACAACATTTACAGAAAGTGGTTCCAAGTCCCAGTCCCACTGCAATCTCTTCATGTTCTCTTCTGCATCTCTCTGCGTTCTGTGCTATTGTCTGAGCTTCTCTTTTGTTTGAACACACTTTGTCATCCTGCGCGCTGCTCCTCCCCCTCCTTTAAAAATTCAAGCCAGAGTGATCGCAACCTCTTCCTGGAATTTGTTCTTTCCACCAGAGTTAAGGTACAATATCATCCCTTTATTGTAAAAGCACTCTTGTTTCTTTTTTCTTTCTTTTTTTTTTATCCAACCCAGAAGAGACAGGAAGCAAAGGATCAGCATGCTATATAACAACTTGCTTTCCTGTAAGAATTCGTACTGTCTTTAGTTCCATTTTGTTAAACACACATCGGTTGATTGAATTCCATGTGCCAGTTCTGTGCTAGTGACAGACAGGACGAAGAATAGATATGGTCCCTACCTACAACTAGGTTACAGTCTATGTGGCAGACTTCAAACTAAACCTAAGCTATATGTGTGGTGTCTTTGATGAAGTGCTCTGTTGGGAGGTGGGAGGCTTAAGTTCCAACTCAGGTTTTATCCAAGATTGATAAAACACAGTATGATAAAATGCTATTCTCTTTGTTTTTCTTATTCATGAGCCTATGTGATTAGGCCAGAGAGTGATTATCTGCTTGACTCTTTTATATTGGCTGAGTGAAATGTCTAATTTGACTTCCTCAAAGTCTAATTTGACTTCCTCAAAGTCTAATTTGACTTTTCTGTGGTGATGACATTTCATTTGATGTCTCTTAGAAGAATTGGGAAGCAGAAAAGAGGCCTAAAGAAAGAGAATGAGTGAGAGCAACCCTGAACTTTCCTGTGTTTTTTTTTAGACTAGCAAGCAGGAAGAATGCATGAAGTCTGCACGTACTTCCAAGTTTCTCAAGGCAGGTTCTTTGTAGGCTTTGATTTTGAGTGCTCAATCAAGAAAATCTCTCCTCACACCCCCAGCTGTATTATCAATAGATTCTACAGCTATATGGTGTGTGAAATCTTGCTCCCTGAATTCCAATCTTGTGCCATGGGGCAGAGCCCAGGGTTAGATTTGGGGCAAATGCTCTTTACTAAACACTTCCACCATTAATTTATACATTCACAAAGTGGAAATGATAGCTTAAAGGTAGGGATCCTATTTCTATATTATAATTGCTTATTGTCAGCCAGTGAGTAGAGAAACATAAGTACAGAGATGGCATTTCGGTTGCCGTATTTTCTCACAGGGTTCCAGAATTGGAACATTCTACAAAGTGTTCCAAAAGTCTTCATTCACTTTCTAGCTTTAATTATCTCAGAAGCATAAGTGCACTATTTTATAAAAGTATCTTTTGAAATACTAATTATTTATGTTCCTTTTATATGTATGTGATTTTGCGAATCCTGAATAATTTTTTCACTTTTTTTCAATGTTCTTCAGTAAGAGAGACTGAAGAAAAAATTAAAAATAGATTTAAAAACTACACAAAACTGCAGAAGTGGAAAGAAACGATAATTACAAATATTACAAATGGTGCCCTTTGTAAATTTGTAGCATTTTTCCCCCTAAGTTATGAAAGTTTAAAATTGCACTAAGACTTTTGGAATACTCTATATTAGGTGGCAGTTTATTTTGGAATTCAAATACTCTCACCAGTTTGTTCAAAAATGGATTAAAACAAAAAAGGAAATGGGTGAGGTGGCTCATGCCTGTAATCCCAGTACTTCGGGAGACCAAAGCAGAAGGATTGCTTGAAGCCAGGAGTTTGAGGTTGCAGTGAGCTTTGATGATGCCACTGCACTCTAGCCTAGAAGACAGAGCAAGAACCTGTCTCAGAAAAAAACAAAAAAACAAAAAAAAAGGAAATGAATTTGTAATTTCAACATAATGATCATAAATTTTGAGTTAAAAATTTAATAAAATTAATATCAACAGACAACCCTGGATGTTAGTAAAAATAAGTCAACTTGTCCCCACAGGTTGCAAGATTGAGAAGTCTGTTTTTAACAATATGGTTTTAATTTTAGAGACAGACTGCAGAATTTTGCCAATTCTGGAGGTCAGTTGGAATTTATCCTGGAGAGTGGGTCAGAAGAAATAGGCAGTGAAGGACCAACTCGTGAAATGTGCTTAGTGAGCCAAATTCACAAGTTCTTCCGATATAGAATATAATTGAGCTCTGCTCAATTATAATTCTGACCTCTGCTTAGAATATAATTGAGCCTCCGTCCCTTCTAGGATTTTCATTTTAGACACAATGGATGCAAAAACATTAAGCAATAGGAACACATCTTAGCCTTCTCTCTAGAAATGAAGGAGTTACATTCTCCTGTCCTGTCTGACATTTGGTTTACAGAGTGCAGTGAACTGCTCAGGAGTGAGGTATTTGGCTAAGAGGCGGCACTGTGTATCCACAGAACAGATTAAAGTGTATGCCAATTCTATTTGCTCTGAGAACAAATATTTTCCCTGAAGTTAAGTCTCTGTGGTTGGATGTGCAGGGTAGGCACGTGCCTTGCTATGTCCACCAGAAGCCCTGCACTCTGAGGAGGGAGACCTGGCAGCATGGGGGGCTGCAGTCACCTTCCAGCCTGTCTGTGTGTCCCCCATTGCACCCACACTTCTGAGCTACTGCTCACATCCTCCTCAGCCCCTCACTCAGAGGGTTTTTAGTGGTGATTACCTGCTCAGAGACCTACCGCACGTTCACTGCTACCTTGCCTGGTTCTGAATCTTAATATATCTTTACCAACACAACTGTGATTAAGCTGATGCAACAAAGTGAAATGATGTTGCGATGTGTGGTGCCCCTGG